AACCAATATTCATAGACAAACAGCTCTCATCAAGTACATGAGCAGAGCTGTGCTACACCAATACATCTGTAACTTTTGTAAAACACAGCTCTCAGAGACAAAACTTTTACTTCTGCAGATTTTCCAAAAATTTTCCTACATATTTTTTCAAATAGAAGCACTGCTTCATTTCCTGCAAATTGTTTTTTTCTAATTCTGTTCAAGAATATCAACTTCATTAAAACTTTAAAGACTTAATCCTGAGTTATGGCTTGATGAGATCTCTGTGGGATGAAAGAAATCAGGAGATCACAGTGCCTGCTATTTTAAAGTGTTCTCACAATGGAAACGTAATTTGCTGATGAAAGTGTGCTGAGGTAGAGAAAACAGGATTAAAAACACACACACAAAGAATCAGTTTAAACCCTAGTGTGGGTTTCTGAACAGAAAAGCTTCTTGTTTTTTTTAAAAAAAAAAAAAAATATCAAGACAAGTCTCATTTAATTAGGTTGATTTTTGTATTTCAGACATGAGTCATACATTTTTAAAAAATAGAGTACTTGCTGTAAATGTAAAATAGCACCTGTCATATGAATTTATTCTTGATCTAGATATTGACCAAAGTATTTTAATTTATAAAAATCCAATTTACCTTCCCTAGATCACACGATTGAGCATTCTTTCACCTTTGCTGTCATCTCTCTTCCTGAAGGTTCTACATTCTATGGTGTTTTCTACTTTCATATGGAGGAATATGATTGAGAGCAAAATGCTCATCGAATATACTATGAAGTACTCTACACTTACCAAAATGAGTAGGTAAAATTCTGAAATAGCATAAATAACACAACTGTATAAGTAGAAAAACGAAGATATAGGAAAATAAGACACAATGAAAATAAAATTTGGTGAAATTATAACCATTTCTTTGATTTAATAGCATACATAGTTGCACAACATCACTTTTTAAAGAAAAGGGGATATAAAAAATGCTTCAATTATGAAAAGCATCTGATGGTCTTTGGTAAGGAATTATTTTTCCTCATTGATTCTGTTTAACGTTTTGGCATAAGGGAAGGAAGTAAGTTGCCCTGAAAAAAATAATAAAAACACTCAAATCACTTAAAGTAGATGGATTGAAGCTCATGTAGTTATTCTGCACTTTCTAGAGAGGCTCTTCTTTGAGAAATGAGAGTGACACTGGATGACCTCCAAGGATCGTGGCCAGACATTCAAAGATTCTATAAACACTTTCCCTTCTTCATTGCAAATGCTACCCATTACCTGATGTAACTTCTGAGTCAAAACATAAATCACTTTGGAATCAGTCATTCCTGCACATCTTTCTCTTCAAAATAAAGCAAATTCTGGAAATGAATAACCTGTGTAATTCATATGGATGTATTAAAAGCCTACGCACAGCAAATTACATGGCATCAACACTGAATTTAAATATTCTAGCAAGTCTGGCTCATGTAGGTATTTCACACATAAAGAATGACTCAAATAATGACCATATGAATGCTCCTTTCTGTATTAGAAAGTGCACAGACAGGCGTATTCTAAAGGGTTTTCCATGGTTCAATGACCTCAACCAATTTGTCAGTTCAGAGTCTCCAACATTTCATTTCCAAAAAGCTGCAGCCCACACAGTGCCTAAGGGGCTCACAAGCCTTGGCCACCTATCCCACTTCATTATTGGGTTTACTTAGATAACGCATGCTAGCTAGAGGTGGCTCTTCAAGAACTCCACTTGCTTTTCTTAGCCTGTACCTCTTTGTTCTCCACCTTACTTCCTGTATTCTACATTCTGTTCTAAATATAAGATAATATTGATAGTGATAATATTAGTGTCAACCCCTGAGGGTAGGAGAAAAACAACCCTCTACAATTATTTCCATCCTTTGAGAGAGGGACGCCCACCTCTTCCTCAAACTCCTTTTTTTTCTGTACTATGTTGTAAAGAGGACAGGCAAATTATCATCATCACCATCATCATCTCCTTCTTCATCGGCATCAACGGAATGCAGTTCTGGTTTCAGTTTTGCCACAGTCTAGCTGTGTAACTTCATATAAATCACATACTTACTATGGCTCTAGGCTTTCTCACCTAGAAATTGTGGCACAATCAAAGACTGCATCATCACAGTGTGCTCAGGGGATGGCATCTACAACATCTGATGCACTCTCTAGCTCTGCACTGAAGTGGTGTGAGGTCCTGCCTGCCAGGTCCCACATTTTCATTTGGCATGTCTATGATAATTTTAGGATGCTCACCGGGTTTATAAAGTTTCAGCATGATGCATATCAGAACTTGAAAAGAGCTAAGAAGCTGAGAGACAGTGTGTCAACCCTAAAATCAGAAACACAACCACAGCTTTTCCCATGAACTATTTGAGTTAGCCTCTCTGCCTCAGCCTTGCTCTCCTAGAAAGTCTGAACAGTGGAAGAAGTATCTCAGTGACAGAAATTGGAGTGGAGATACTTTATCAAAGCAAGATCTTCCATTTCACCACTTTAGCATTCATGACTCAATGTGTAGTTCACAAAGAGACAGGTTAGAAAGCCTAGTGTTTCAGGGAATAATGCAAATATTAAGTGATTATAACATCTAAATGCTTATAAACTAGATTCGTTCACATAATTTTTCTTTTTTGTCTTGAGCAACTTCCCAGCCAGTAAAGAATCCCCTGTGAAATTGAGATGTAGAAGGTGCTATCTCTCTATAAATAGGCTCATCCCATGCTATATGAATCATGGTTTCTGACAGAAAATCAACAGATTAATTATTTGCCTTTGTTAGTAATAATAGCACACTATCATCTTCTGAAAAAGCTTTTCTGCACCCCACACTCTCATTTTTCTATTCTGTGCTTTAGAACGAATCCCAGATCATGGTGTACAAACACATTCAGGTTGTCCTTGCCCTGGAAATGGCTCAACAGTTCCTGCCATGTCTGCCAAATTGTTCCTGTGACACTTTAGCTAAAGGAAGTCACCAGTCAGCATCCTCTTTGCCACAATGAACACTAAATAGAGAGACAGAGAGATCAAACAAACACTGAGAAATTCCCTATTTTCTCATGATACTAAGGAAAAGGTCACAGGATGTAACACACAGTCTTTCTTTTCCCCGCAAAATTAAGCCATGCAGTTTGCTCATCTGCAAAACAACTTTAACAAAGATCAAGTGAGTTCAACTTATCCATTCACAAATATAATCCACCTATACTTATTACCTTGTTTTCAGCTGAGGAGCCTGAGTAGGATCAACTCATAAATATCACATAATTATCCCAACTAGATGCAACGATGCACTTCTGGAACTGAGATGCAAGAGTCGCATTAAGCTCAGAGACTTTGAGTTCCATGTAGACCACACAAGCCCTAAGAGAAGGTTTTCAAATGATCCTTACATAACAAAACAAGAGATTTTATTTTCCCCTAACATGAATTATTTAATATTCAGAGATAGCTTTAGTTTTTGCATAAATCTTCATTTTATAAAATATACAGGCTAAAATTTATTGGATGCAAACTAACAGAAACTTTATTAGCTCCTGCCTTGGGATCATAATTATTTTTGTTTACTCCTGAAATTTACAACTGTGTTGCCACCACAGAATAATCAAATGAGCCCACTGACGTCACGTATGAGTAATGTCATGAAAGCCCAGTGGGAAATAAAACACGGTAACTTCTTTACAAAGCTTAACTGCAAATCTCTTAGCTAACTCTGAGCCCCTCTTGAAGCCAGCCTATGTGCTCCCTTCCTGAGACCCAAGAGAACCTCAGAGCAAAGGTTGCAAAGAGGCTGACCTAAGCTAGTCCACTGACCACAGACGAGTCTGCCATTGCAGATGGTGTTTCCTTGCAGTTGTTCACAGGAAGTTAGAATACTTGCATATTGCAATTCACCCTGCATGTATACCTGGAGGATCAATGGTTTGATAGAAGTTCAAATCTTAACACTCTGTTTTGATTCTCTCAGTCTGGGACACTCGCTTGGCTGGGGTGGGGATCATTACACTGAAACTCAAGACAACCAGTAAATGTTCTTTTTTAAATAAAGATACATCAAGGATTGATCATTGAAGGGGCTGGGGATTTAGCTCAGCGGCACAGCGCCTGCCTGGCAAGCGCAAGGTCATGAGTTCAATTCCCAGTACCAGAAAAAAAAACAACAAAAAAAGGCTTAATCATTGAAATGTGGGACTGCCGAAAAGCAGCAGCTCCAGAAAGGCTATGCCACGGAAACCTCCAAGAAGTCTCAAGTTTTCTTTCCACTCTCTGAAGCCAAACTGTGGATGCTCTCTTGTTCACTTAGCGTCTCAAAAGTGTGAGTCCGCAGAGGACGGCAACGGGACAGGAAAGTTTATTAGCAGAGCCCTTGGAAACCATCAAAGTGTTTGAAAGAAGAGAAGAGGAAAAGAATGTGTAAAAGGAAACGGCAGGGTGTGAGAAATGGAGGGGTTAAGAAAATAACTGGGTTCTTCAAAGATCAATACCATGTGTCCCTGGAGGAAGCTAAAAAATGAGAATAAATGAGAAAATGAGAATAAGTTCGTCTGACGTCTACCCACGTCTGTCGTGAGTTGTTAGGAGAGATACAAGAAGGAGCTTTTCTTTGCAGGTCCTCAGTGGGCAGCAGAAGTACCCTATGGATGGAGAGATGGATGGATAGACAGACAGATAGGAGAGCAGAGTGAAAGAATGCACGAATAAATGAGGCCGCTGCTGACTTCAAGGAATCTACAGGCTACTTCAGACTGGGTGCACTCATACATGTGATTCTCATCCTAGTAAAACTGTAGTCTGATTGAAGCACAAAGTGTTTTCCTGAATACGGGACAAGATGCTATTAACTAACAGGGTGGTTGAAAGAGACGTCTGGAAATGAGGGACCAGAATGGAAGAAAGAGATTCTGGTTCCCTTCCACGAACTGGGGATCCAGGTGCTTTAAGGAAGGGAAGTAGGGGTGTCTGCTTCTGGGGAGCCCACCGTCCGGGCTTCTACTGACCTGGTCTCCGCCTCACCGGCCTCTTGCGGCCGCTGCAGAAGCGTACTTTGCTGAACACCCCGAGAACATGCCTCTCACACAGGGAACGCCCGTCTTTGCTGGGGCTGGAGCGGCGCTTGGAGGCCGACACCCGGTCGCTGTTGGACTCCCTCGCCTGCCGCTTCTGCCGGATCAAGGAGCTGGCTATTGCCGCAGCCATCGCTGCTCAGCTCGGGCCCCAGGCCCCAGTCTCCACTGCGCCCTCGGGATCGCGCTCCCCCGGGGCGAGGGCAGGACCGTGGCGGCCGCGAGGGCAGGGACAGACGCGGGGCGGCAGTGCTAATAATGCCTGAGGAGGCTGCAATACGGAAAACCTGGCGCACACAAGGTTAGTCACAGCCCGGGCAGTGGCAACAAAATGTGTGGAAATCCAGATGTAAACTTGCCCAACTGCTGGCGGCGGGGGCGGGGCGGTCCCAGGCCTTCCTGCGAAGTAGACGTTTGCACCCCAAACTTGCACCCCGAGGCGATCCAAGTCCAGGGGTCAGTGGGAAGTTTGGTCACAATGCTTTCGGGGTTCCAAGTGGAAAGAATGTCCAAAATAACAAGCCGTGCCCCTGTTGGAGAGGCGCAAACGTTGCCAAGTGTCCAAAGTATAGCTACACATCCATACATAGAAAACCCGTTTACAAAGCAGTCTGTTGACCGAGGCGGGTAGCCGTGCCCCCCGGTAGAAAATACTAAAAAGTGGATAAAACGTTCCTTTACAAAACGAAACACCAACCGCAAGAGAGAGAAGGAGAGGAAGGCAGCAATTTAATTCCCTGCGGCCCGCGGTTCTGGAGATTAGGAGGTCCGTCCCGGCTGGGGCTGGGTTAGGTCTACGGAATGCATCGCGCCGGCTGCGGCTCCCCAGGGCCCGGCCGCCCGAGTTCTGGAATCCGAGAGGCGCGAAGTGGGAGCGGCTTGCAGAGTCCGGGCAGGGGCGCCGGGAGCAGGGCTCAGGCAGCTGTTTCCAGCTGCGGTGAGCGGACTCTCCTCCAGCAGCCCTGCAAAGAGAGCGGGAGGCGAGGGAGGGGGAGGGCAGGCACGAGGGAGGGGGAGAGGGAGGGAGATCCTCGAGGGCCAAGCACCCTCGGGAGAAACCCGCGACAGGCGGCGCGCGGGGTCCCAGGAGCGGGCGCTCTTTCTCTTTCCGCTTGCTTTCCGACACGAGACGGGCACAGTTGGTGATTATTTAGGGAATTCTAAATCTGGAATGACTCAGTAGTTTAAATAAGCCCCCTCTCCAAAGGCAGCGATGCCTGCCGAAGGTGTCCTCTCCGGCTCGGCGCCCACACGCCCTTACCCGGAGCTCCCCGCCATGGTCCGCCCAGGGCCGCCGCGCCGCCGCGCCGGTCTCCGCACAGGCTCGCGAGGGAGGGAAGGAAGCAGGGGGCGCCCTGGCGGGCTGGGGATCAGGTCATCGCCGCGCCGCCCGGCCCCCCAGGTTCGCGCGCCCCGGCAGGGCAGTCGGCAGCTCACGAGCAGCAGGTCAGATGGGGATCACCCGCCCGACGCGAGGCGGATCACTGGGTCCCGCGCCGCCCATCCCGGCCGAGGAAGGAAGTGACCGGCGCGCTGCGAACCCCCGCGCGTCCGCTCGGGTGGGGCAGGGGGAGGCTGAGGGCCACGCAGGCTCGCGGAGGCTGCGGCTCCGGCTCCGGCTCGGAGCTGCCCACCATGGTCTGGCGCCGGGGGCGCAGGCGACTTCCCTAGGCCGCCCGGGCCGACGGCGTGGGGTGGCCGCGCGCGCAATCCGGGCCCTGGGCGCCCGCGGCGAGGCAGAGGCAGGTGCGGGCGGCCGAGAACTCGCCCAACTTGCTGCCGCGCGGGTGGCCTCTCGAAGGCTCGCGGGGCGCCCCCCGTCGCCGCCTCCCCGGGCCCGGAAGGGGGCGCTCAGTGCAAAGTCCCATTCATGGGCTGAGGCTCAGGGCGCCGCCGCCGGCTCCGGGAGCCGGAGCGCCAGCTGGCTCCGCAGGAAACTCCAGGCGGACGTGACAACCTCCTGGGCGGCGGGTAGGACTGGGAGGCGACCGCGGAGTTCCTCCCGCGCCGCGGGAGCCTGAGTGCGCCCAGGTGGGAACGGGGGGAGGGCGAGCTCCTGGAGCGCAGGGAGGCGCAGCGCGCGAATCCAGTTCCCTTTCCTCGCGCCCTGGGCGCCTGGGGCTCCCAGCCTCCCTTCTCCTTCCTCCCTCCCCTCACCCCTCTCCCCGCTCTCTGTCTTCTGTCTCTCCCCTTTTCTCCTCTCTACGCAATCCTACGTGATTGAGGTTTGGATGAGAAATTCTCAGAGGCAAGGCGAGGGAACTGCAGCTCGGGGCTGTTCTGTCCGGTCCCTCCCCCAAAGGAAAAACACATCCTCTGGTAGGTGAAGGAGACCCTGGATGCTGGATGTGCAGAGAAGGGGTCAGGAGTAGCAGAGCTGAAGACGGTAATTCTCTCTCTCTCGCTCTTTCTCTCTCTCTCTCTCTCTCTCTCTCTCTCTCTCTCTCTCTCTCTCTCTCTCTTTCTCTGTAGCAGGTCGCATTCTCTATCTAGGAAGAAAGGAAGTAGACATTGGAGAAAGTAGCAGTGGCCTCATGTTGGGCCCTACATGTTCAGCTCATTTTTGGAGCAACAGAGATTGCGTCTGCCTCCATAGAGCCCAAATTTCTGCGTTCTGGATTGCTACAAAGCAGGCTTAGTCCCTAAGAAAAGGGAACTGGGTGAGCAGGCTGCAGCAAGTGGGGGAAGGGAGTGACATGGGCGAAGGTAGTCAACAACCTTCCGTCTTTGGAGTGCTGGCAGGTCTAGGAAACGCTTGTGAGGACAGCTGATGTTAGAGAAACGAGGGAGTCATCCAAGCTAAAAGGCAGCATGAGGGATTTTGGAAACCGGAAAGGAGTAATCACCTTTCTTTCATGCTAAGGTCTGGGACCTTAGCTCTTCAACTTGTCTTTAAATATTCGAAGTCTCTTCTTCCCTGACACTGCTCTAAGCCTTGCCTCACCGGTGTGCCAGAGAATTAAATGGATGATTTGCAAGCAGAGACAGGCCTACCTTGGAAAGATCCTCATTCAAGGCAAGGAAGATTGGAATCCGGAGGCTACTGGAATGGATAGGGGATCCAGAGACCTCCAGGAGCGCTCTAGGTATGTGCATAAACCTGTGAGCCTAGCTCATGCTCATCTGGGCAATGAGAAGGGTTGAGATGTTTGGGGGTTTCAGAATAAGCCCTGAGCCTAACCACCAACCCAAAAGTGCCTTGGATTTGGGGGCTTGGGCCTTCAAGCTGCTGGGGGACAAAGCAGGGCTGGCAGGTATCGAGTCACTGAGACAGAGAGCTGGTGGGAGGAGGAACAGAGGCGCAAGTCACCTTGAAGAAAGGGAATCCCACGTGTTAATGAGGAGCACACATCTCCCGCAGCAGTTCAGTGCTGATGAATGAGGGTGGTGGCTTCTTTCCTGGAATTCGAACGATACAGAAGACAGATGAAATGACCCACACACAGCGCTCTGCTCTGGCAGGGAAAATGGGTGCACTTTCAAAACTGCATCTGAATGGGACGAGAATGAGGGCTTAAAATCAACTGATAACACTATCAGTTAGGGACATGTTTACATTAATTTGAATGTAATTTAATTCCACAATTAAAATTATTTTTTCCCCTTGGCTATCAGTGATCTTGTCTCACTCTTGAGCAGGGCGGCCCCAGAGCATTCTGGCTGACTTTGGGGGCTCCCCGTCTTTTGCAAGTCAACATCCAATCAGAAGAAGGTCAGCTAAGGGGACGATCCAGAAAAGTAAGCAAGAAGGGGGTGCATAGTGGGGCCTTGAGGATATCCTTGCTAACTTGGAGTCTCTTTTTTATCCTCAAAATCGGGATAATGATTCTCATCTATCTCACAGAATTAAATATGCACATATAAGCCTTTTGAAAACTGCAAAATGCCAGATGAGTGAAAGAGATGATTACAGTGTTTATCATTATTTTTTAAAGAAAATGCAGGAAAATCACCTAAGATTTTTATCGTTCTTTAAAGTGCAGATTCCTTCTGATCTCTCAGAATGGGAAACACAAGACTCTACAGTTGTAGCCTGGGAGTCTGATTCTTTAACAAGTCCTCGAGGTGTCAGAGTTCTGAGAGCTTAATATATGTGCGTAATGCAGATAATACTAGAAAGCAAGTAAAATCACACTCAAGATCTGGCATAGTTCCCCAAAAGTGCAGTCCTGTGCCCTGAAAAATACAGTCGGAAAAGAGAATGTGTGTTTGCAAACCCTTTGTGTTGCTGACTTTTCTACAGGCTTGAGAGAAATTAGGATGCTTTGATACAGAAGACAACCAAGACAGAGGTGTAGGTTTGAAAGAATTGGAGAGGTAAGAGTTGAACAAACAAGTAACAGCTGCTCTTTGAAGCTCCTGTGTCTTTCTGGATATGGCAAAATCAAATTGGGTGCTTAAAGAAAGAATAAAACATCCAATGGCAGCTTTCGGAGATGGACACTGTGTTTCTGTCTTTGGATCTCTATTAAAGGAATGGGATGTTTCGGCTCTCATGGGACAAAGATGGGACATTTCCCTGGCACTGCTATGGCTACTGTCACAGTACTTTTGACCGCTGCTGACTGGCCTTGTAAACGATCTTCAGCATCACAGGAGAAGGACAGGTAAGCACAGAGAAATTTGAGAAATTAGGTAGGACCTGGGCCCATGGCTGTTGAACCCCAAAGCAATATTTCATTTTTCTGGTTGCTGTTGTTAATTCACAGCTTTTCAACCTAGGCCACTTAATCTCTTGAGCCTTTCTTCGTGGTAAGTGGAGCATTTCTAGTAGCGTGGCATTTTGAAATCAGGAAAGAAATGACATCAGACTACTGAGGACTGAAGTTAAATAACCAGATAGTTTAAAGGGTGATATATAAACTATTATCCCCAGCCCTTTTTCTTTCTTTCGTTCTTTCTTTCTTTTGTTCTTTCTTTCTTTTTCTTTCTTTGTTTCTTTGTTTCTTTGTTTCTTTCTCTCTCTTTTTTTTTTTTTTTTTTTTTTTAGAGATAGGGTCTTATCTTACTAGTTCCATTGCCCAGACTGGGCTTGAATTTGAACTCTTCCTGCCTTAGCCTCCCAGTGTGGGATTACAAACATGCACCACCTCACCTGGCTGCTATGTTTTTTGAGCAGCTGAAGAATTTGTTTTTTAACTTTGAAGCCATTATGTCTGAAACACTTCTAATTAATTTGGGGAAAGTTGCAGGATATATATGAAAGGGTTACTTATGGTTAACTCTATGCTTATGACCTACAGTCAAATAAAACATGGACAGGCTCACTCATCTTCATATTTGAAAAAGAAAATCAAAGAATATTTATCTTTTGCTTGTTCACAGTCCAGCTCTTCCAACTCCCAAATTTAACTGTTAGGATTATGTCACATATCAACTTTAAACATTGTATTGAGCACATATTGCATCTTTGTCATTTACCAAGGAGAACTCTATACACCTTTACAGTCTCCTTACCCTTAACAAAGTTTTCATATTATCACGATTCCTTTTTGGCTTTTATCTAACTCACTCACTACCCTATCCTGCTGGATAAATTAGTCAATGTTTCTAGACCACAAGTGCAAAGTAGATACACAGTAACAATACCAGCAGTATCTACCCACCTGGGCTCCCATGACAGTCACAGACTATGTAACAATAATGTAAAGTATGAGAATGAAAATGCTGTCATTGAGTTATTCCTTTGAGTCAAGTCCTGGATATAAACTAGAGACTCCTCAAAACAGAAAATTATACTTTCTGATTCATACACATCATCATTCACTCCTAGACATAATATACTTAACGAAGGCTAAAAATCTACTTGACATAAACGATTAACCTTGACATTGACCTGGCAAACTGAATTTTCATTAGTTGAATATTGTCAACGTCCTTGTCTGTTGGGTACACAAAGAAGACTTGTTCTGATTATACATCATCCTGCTTGAGATCAGGTCCCTGACTCAAAGCCTGGGGACGGTGAGCTCAGCGGGCTCTGTCACCGTAGGCTTTAGAGGTGGGGAAAGGACTTCGCTCCAGAGTTTTATCCTATACCTAGCTGCACTTCTCTTTGCTCTTCTCTGTGAGATTATTAGTTAAAATAGGCCAGCAAATGCTGGACAAACATCCACTTTCTAATTGGTGAATTCCTTTCTACAGCAAATTCATTTAGGATAATTTGTTCAGCAATTCAGCAGTTGAATTATTGTCTGTTATATGTCTGGCTTTGGTTACCTCTCAGAATAGGAAAGGGGATAGATTTCATTCCTCTTTATGGCATAGATGAAGGATAGTGATTTCCATTGTCCAAAAGGAGAAATCTGCAGTGTTTTGGAGACTGTCTGAAGATGCGCTATGTAGCTAATGTGCCCAGTGTTAAGCGTCCTGCATAATTCTAAGTGCATTGCAATTTCTGACACATTCATTCCATCCCTCAACCCTATGCAATAGCTTCTGTCATGTCTCCATTTTATAAATGAAGAAACCTGGGTACAAATAGATTGAATTGCTTAACCTAGGGCACCCAGTTGAGAATTGGGAGATACAGATTTAAACTCATGTAATTTATTTTCAGAACTTCCCTTCCATCATCTATGTTCTACTGTATGTCAATAAACTATAATACCATGAATATGTATAATCATGTAATAAATTCATAAAATAAGAATACACTCACTACTTATGTTTATGGTGTCCTTTGTTGTTTAAAACCAATCTTTGCACATATTATCTCACCACGACTCAACAGATTTGTGATTAAAGTTAAGGAGATAATAATACATAATTGTACAAACTGGGACTTAGTGGCATGATCTCCCCAAATCATACAATGAATAAAGTTCTGTAGGTTAAATTTGGGTCTTCTGATCTCAGTGCTTCTATTGCTCTAAGTTCATATAGAGAGAAAAAAACCAGAAATGCCAAATGTCCTTTTGTTCAGTAACCTGTAGCACAGTTACAAGAATGACCTTGAAGAGGTTATTCGATGATGGAGAGGAGACTACAGATGTCCTAAGTTCTCTTTTGCTGAAGCTTTTCCCTCCTTCTGGATCAGACAGCCAGGGATGGTTTTCTCACTCTCACTTATAAGAGGGTCTCTCTCAGTAATTCCAGTTCAGCTTTATAAAACAAGGCTAGGGAAGCTAAATCAAATCAGACAATAGAGAAACTTAAAAGCAGGTGACTTTAGATTTTATTTCTATTCCTAAACCAAAGGTGTGCTGGTTTGGCACATCCCACTTTTGGGATGGCGGGCACTTGATTATTTTCCTTCCCAGCTGAATGAGGGGGCGTTGAAAAGCTAGCACAACAAACCACCTATCATCTTGCCTTCCTGCAATCCCCACTCTTACTACCCCAGTGACAACCTTTCCCTCTAGAAGAGAAATGTGGCTAGACGATCCTCACTAAAACTTAAAACTCATAAGGACAAGAACAAGTCCACGTTGTTTATTTTCATATTCCCAATGCTTAAAATAGTATTTAGCATACAGCAGATAATGAACACATGAATAGTGCATCAGTGGAGTGACATGTGTAGCTCAGTGATAGAGCACACGTTTGAGATCTTGGGTTCGATCTCTTCCCCTCCCCACCCAAAAAAGAAAAAGTAAACTTCACACATCACTCCCTTATCTTTTTCAGCCAAATACACACATAAGTCATTCCATGGAGTATTTGCTGTTTGTGTCAGGAAACAAAGTCAGTTAATTCAAGAGTAGACTCCACATTTCCCGGTGGATTTTAGGGTGGTTTTGTTGTTATTGTTGCTGCTTTTTTCTTTATCAGCACCCCAGAAAATTCTCTGTGTAAATTAAATTGATTAAATAAAAGCATCTTCTGTTAAATAAAAGCAGTGATGGTGAACCTTTTAGAGCTTTCAATGTTAACAAACAGCCCTCTGTGTTATGCATGATGTAGGTTCACCCCCACTGTTCTACAGTGTTTTTAGCCAGATTTCTGCTCCACCCAACACATATCCTGTACCTAGGCCTGTATGTTAGTTTTAGTATCTTTCCTTTCCCTTTCCATTTCCTTTCCCCTTCCCTTTTCTTTCCCCTTCCCTTTCCTTTCCCCTTTTCTCTCTCTGTCTCTGCCTCTATCTCTGTGTCTGTCTCTCCGCTTCCTTCCTTCTTTTTTGTCTTAAACAAACACACCTAATATACACACGCAAATACACCCACATTCACAGAAGAAAAAGAATATACTAATAAGGCAGAGAGACATAGACATCAGAAAAAGCAAGTAACCAATTTTTTAAAGCTCAGAATGTGACTGAAATGCCCTTAAAACAGTTTGATAATCCTCACATTCATACTGCTACCAATCTTTACTGAGCTGCTCTCTTCACGGGCCATTCCTAGTTGCTGTCTTTTCTAATTTTAGATTTCAAATTTTCAGGGAATGGATCTTGTTGAAATAGCAGTCTCATACCCTATCCGGCACATGACTGATACTCAAAATGTACTATTAAAGTCATAATGAATTCATGTTTTTGTACTCTGCATGTGCATAGCACTGGACACTATAAAAACAATTGGTGAGCCCCAAATGATCCAGTGCTCACCTGTATTTGATACCAAATAAGATTTCATTGTAAATAACTGAAATATACAAGCTGGCTAGGAAAACATGTCAGAGGACCTAATGACAGTCTGGGCAAAGTAAACAATCAGGTCATTTTGGCCCTACATTTTTAGAATTCTTTGAAACCAAACTTATAGTAAAAACAGTGTGCTATTTAAATAATTTTTCCTTGAATAAAGGGACTTACTTTACCTGAGACTAAGTTTATGCACCTGTACATCACCAAGTAAACATGTAGGGTCCAAGTTAGTTAAAATAATATGTGTAAAACGTAGCACTGGTTTTTGAATCTGGGAAAAAGTATGAATAAGGAAATGAACAAATGCATGAGCAGACGAGTGGAGAGAGAGTTGGATGAATGGAGTACAAATTCTAAAAAGGTCTAAATTAGCCTTGTTAGGTTGGTGATGTAACCTTGTTAAGCAAAATAATGTAAATTATACTTAAGGTTAAAAACATTTAGAAAGCTTCCTTTTAGAATAGAAGAGAGGCAAAAAAGAAAATGTTCAGTAAATCCAGGGTAGTAAATGGCAGCATTTAGTAAAATCTCTAGTCATAAAACTACATTCCTCTGTACCTTTATTTGCAGGGTAATCCAGATAAGCAGCACCAGGAGAGCATTGGTTGAAATGGCCATGTGTTTGGGAAATTCAAAGGCTTATAGGCAGGATAGATAGATAGATGATAGATAGACAGATAGATAGGTAGATAGACAGACAGATAGATACGTGTATTTCAATGGTTAGATTTTCAGAAAGTAGGAATAAGATCATTATATAAAGGACCTTTATTTAATCAACATTTGTATCAAGAAGGAACAGTAGTCTTCTTATGTTTTCAACAGGATATTAGTATTTTAACTTGTAGTGTTAGTTGGAAGGGATTTTATTAGGTCATCAGCCCATCTTAGATAAAGTATAAACATTGTAATCAGCCAGAGAAGATAAGAGACTTCTTTAGAAGTAAGCTGGAGGACTGTCTCCTGGATGGTTGAGTATGCTAAGATATGGCAGTGAAGAAAAAGCATGATTCTTTCTCTTTATTTTGACAGTTCTCCCTCTTGTCCCTAAACAGGGTCAAGACAAGGAAATAGCCATGGCTGGTCTTTAAAAGATAAGTAACAAGAATCATTTATTATTTTCGAAGGACAAAAGTTAAGGAAAGAAAATTGTCTTCAAGATAAGTGGAATTCATTACAAAAAGAAAAACAACAGAAGCCTTCTGAGTATAATCTCTATATAAGATCAGACATGGAATTGGGGAGTGTTGACTTACAATTATTTTCCTGCAATGAATT